ATTTCTGTTTATATTAGAAATTCCCTCCTACGAGCCATTTTTTCTTGGCACGATAGGGAGCCATTTATTCCCAGAAAAGTGTGGGTAAGCCATGTATTCTGGAGACGCAGCAATTTGTTTATCTAGTAATAAATTGTAACTGCTGAGTAATACAAGACAACGCTTGAATGACTGAAAAACTTGGGCATGACCTCGTCATCTATTTCTAAATATTCTACGAGAACGTTTTAAATTGACGGTTCGATGAAAATGGTTTCTGTTTTCCACACAGAGTGGTATTCCAGAAGATGTTTGGAAGGCCCTCTTTGGATTTATCGATGTTTAAAACTAGAAACGATTTACACACTTTGCGGAAGTTTCTGAGGTAAGATCTGTTTATGGAAGTTTCCTTGATTATTCTGATCGAAAAATACTCACACATAATCAAGTATACTGCTGTAGAGCACTTATAAGGAGTTCCCTGAGAGCGTTTCAAACGCTTTCTGAAAACCTCAGTAGTTGAAAGCGTTCTGGCTGATTATCTATGACAGCCTTCTGTTTTCACTAACATCTCAATGTTTATTAAAAGAATTTCTGGAGGTTGTCTGGCAACCCACTGAAATTCTTCATAAACCGTTGATTATATGCCCATTAGAAACGCCGCAATCTATTTATCATTAAGATTTTTTGTGTCAACTTGAAATCCCAATATTTCTATTATTTAATATAACACACAACAGAAAATATTAATTTTAAAACGCTAATTTTTAACAGAGTGATATAAATATTATACACATTAATTATTGGTTGAATATAATCTATTTGATAAATTAATCACTGGTACCGATCCAACATACGTAATGCTTGTTCTTATAAAACATTTTTTCTATTTTTTTCTCTCTATATATAAGTCAGAAAGTACGTTCACGTTCCTTAGTGTGAATTTACACGTGTATGTCTTTACCCTAATGTAATTATACATGAATCTCTAATATTAAATTTATCTGTATCTCTCCGTACTCTTTCTCTTTATCCACACTGACTTTTAAAAAGTAAATGGCGATCGAGCACATTAACATTACTATATATGAGAAAAATATCGAAATGAGAGTTGAAAAGATAATCCAGTATAATGTAAACTCATTGTATCGTTCATCTGTACTTTCCTTAAAAGGTAAATTCACCCGTGACTGGGATATAAACGATTTCCGTTTTGCTAATTTCAACAGATATACAAGATAATGGCGTTGTGGTATTTTAATGGAATTAACACCGGAAGTTAAAGCTAAAAATATCGTTTCTATAGCCTAGAGCAAAAACTTAAATATAGTTTAATTCTTTTTTTAACAAAATATATCCTTGTATAATCCTGGTGCTAATGACGTTAGTTTCATTAAAATAACAACGACATTAAAGAAATTTTTTCGATTTGTATCACATCTTTCTTTTCATATAACCATTCTCCTTCTAATTATCATATTTATTTTGAAGAAGGGTTGTAATCGAGAATGAAACATCACTACACTCCATGACCTCAGGAAGAAACTTAGTTTGAAACTATTCTAATTATTCTGTATTAATCAAAGGAAAACCAGGAAACGGTAGCGCTGTGACAAAAAGATGGTCAAAAATGTCACAGCATTACCGTTTTTCTGCTTTTTCTTGGATTAATACAGATTAATTAGAATAGTTTCTAGGCTGAGAAGTTTTCGCATCTGTTAGAGGGAACAATTTCCCACAAACTGGTATACTTCTAAGTTTTACCAGCTGGTCTTCACTCTTTTAGACACGCGTTTCCGATTGCCCCAAAATTGATTTTTGGGGTTGTTTGTACAACAGGTGTAGTTTCATAACGAATCAACGTTCAGAGCCGAGACACTTTTCATTTCTTAGAGAAATGTTTACACTACTTAATTATCTAGTTGCCACTTTGGGTTAGTTTGTCGCTTTATCGCAATAACTTTTCCCAAAAGGACACAAAATGGAGGCCGTTACCTGGACAAGCTGTGTACAACAAGCCCTTCTTCGTCTTTTCGCAAGGTTCTTTAGAAATCGTGTACCTACGAATTTGGGTTGTCAGTTTGTAACTTGCCAAAGACTCGAAATATCATTTGCAAAGAAAGTACATTCATCGGGAATCGACTATGGCTTATCCAATGGACATATGTCACGCGGTTCACAAGAGATCTGCATGGAATCTGCAGAAAACGTTTTCAGAAATATTGGGATTTCAAGTTAACAGAAAAAATCTTAATGACAAATAGATTCTGGCGTATCAAATGGGCATATAATCAACGTTTTATGAAGAATTTCAGTGGGTTGCCAGACAATCTCCAGAAATTCTTTTGATAAACATTGAGATGTTAGTGAAAACAAAAGGCTGTCATAGATAATCAGCCAGGACGCTTTCAACTACTGAGGTTAGCCCTAGAAAAGGAAAAGTTTCTGAAATCTTATAAGAATCCCACAAGAATTCATAAGAGATTAGTAAGAGTCAGCAAAACTCGGACTTTTCTCGGAGACCATAGTGCAATGAAATTTCAATGCGAGCAGACAATGCTTTGATGATGTTATAGTCTTTATCTGCAAAGGAAAGAGCAGTATAAATAGCGAGTCAGGTAGTAAATTCAGAGGATGTGCACAGTAAATTCAGCCTCCTGTTCCCTTATCTAAATAAGTCTCATTTTCTAGTGTAAAAAAGTATGTTATATAACAGACACTGTTTTACGTCTCGTTTAAAATGAGAGGAAAACGTTCGTATCGTCAATCATACACGTGGCGAGAGTATATGTATACGTTTATATCACGTGGAGAAGCACGTGGAGCAATCTATTTTTTTCTAACAGTTTGAAGAAACATGCTTCCTATAGACGTATACGCACGGAGGATTGGGGCTCAGCCATTCTGCTTCATTCGCTGAATATTAGCTTGGCTCTAATAACGAACTGACCCTACCAATAATATATACGGACATACATTCTCGACAAGTCCAAGCGTGAATGTTTTCTTCACGTATGAACACTGTTACCTTACGGTAAACCTCACAGGCAAGCTATAAACCATTTAACCACTCTCACTTTTATTCTGAGATCAAATGCCAGTTATATGGCAAACCATAATTGAGAAATACATAGAAAAGAACTATTAATACGGTTCTTATGACAAGTTGAAAGGATTTAGATAAAGAGAGGGCGTGTTAATAAAACTGCGGTGTACAAGTCTGATCTCAACTTCAAAGTGAGTCTAAGGTAAATGATTGACCCTGATTGCATTACGTTCTCGAAGAGAAAACAACACGGTGAAATCACTGTTTCAGCTACCTTAGGATACACTTTCTTTTTAAGCGACTCTTTTATATCAAAAGTTTTTCTTTTTCACTTTTTGTTTCTCATAAGAATCTTAAAAGAATGACAAAATATGCTGCAGGTCATTTCTGCTAGAGGTAGGAAAGAAGCCATTTATGCTAGACAACCTTCCCGGATAGACAAATTATGAAAGAGAAATAGCCGTTTATGCTGAAGAGTAATAAACGGCAGAGCCATTTATGCTAGAGAACTTTCCCGGATAGGCAACTGTATAGCCATTTATTCGGGAAAAAGTGTGGGTAAGCCGTTTATTCTAGAAACGGCGCAATTAATTATTTTCTTAATAAATTGTAAGCCCTCGCTTTACTGGTGAGGTAAATTCTCTGGATTTACTCCAAAAAAATGAGTTCCAAGTTGCTTTGATAGAGATACAGTACCAAGGGTTTTCGCAAAGCGAACATTCAATTCGAACTGTGCAACGTAGTCATGGAGATAAATGGTAGTAGCTTAATCCTCAAGTAAATGGGAATTAAGAAGCCGTTCACTACGCCGGTTTATCATATACTGAGATGTCAAACGTCAGGGTGGGGTAGGATCATGGTGTAAAAGTTCTCACATGGTAGGGTACAAGGCGCAAAAGCATCGCGCCTTCTAGTATTCTCACACTACTTACGCGCAAACATCAACGCTAATGAATACCCAACATTCAGTAAATTTCTCCATTCATGAATTTCAGTGTTACGTCTCAGGAAGCCAAAGGTCTATTTGTCTAGGTAACGTTAGCGACTTCTTGGATAATTTGCGCTTGTAGCAAATCCAAATTAAACGAATTTTTATTTAAAAAAGCATTTCCTACGTTTATATACATTTCATACATTTTCATGCCTCTCATATACTTCCATACATTTTAATACATCGAATTCTGATCCTAAATCACGAAAAAAGCAGTTTTTCGACATGTTGAGTATTTGGTTAGGTTCCAGCTGTTTCACAATTTTTTAGATGGAATAATGCAATATCAAATGGAACTGATTTAGGATAGCTATGTGCTTGAAATTAGTGAGATACGAGAAGTTTCTTTTACAAACTTGTGTGTCAATATTGTTGAATGTTGCACAATGGATACCCTAGTGAATGTACTTGAATGAAGCTACTTGATCAAGTACCCTCGAAAGCTTTGTCCAACGTTTTTGCGCTTTTTTTCTAGTAATTCTGGTGCTTGAATTACTTTATCTTTCTGTCATATCATTTGCCACGCACTACATTGGACATGTTTGGTCTGCACTGAAAATGAAAATCAATAATCAATTCTTATCTTTCTCGTATTTTATCGAATGACACATTTTTCTTTTCTTTTTGCCTTTGAGTAAATTATTGTACTAATTTTCTCTGCGTTTTCGAAAATAACCCGAGAAAAACAGCGCTTGAGAATGCGTTTTGTTTTTGTCTCACCCAAAGTTGACACTACAGAGGCTAGGTAAGTATGTTTGTTAGCTTTTGTTTTAGTTCAAAACTCCTGATGGCGCAAGCTTCTTTCGAAGAAACGTTGAGACCTATATCACTTTTCGTTTCGGAGACATTTAAAATTTACATTTAAAAGATGGGGTGAAATATAAAAATGTCTCACCTATCGAAATAAGTATATATGTACAACAGTAAATGTTTAAGCTTACAATTCAACTGTATATAACAATGTCTAGCAAATCTTATATTTAGCTACTTGTTCGTCTTTTGCAAATCTTTGAGTGCGTTTAATGTGTGAATAAGAGACGGAGGATTGTCATTTAGATATTCACGTTGAATATCAATTGTTTGTTGACAGCAATCAATTGCATGATCATAATCATCTTTATGATAATAACATAAACCTAAACTGTATAATGTAATAGCTATATCCGGATGTTTTTCTTGTCCAAATATTTGTTTTTGATCTGATAATATATTTTTACAACAATTAATAGCAAGATCATGGTTATTCTGCAATTTAACATGTAAAACATCTGTTATAAGTCACATGTATTCCGTTTCAATATAGATGGATGTTTATTGTGATAAAAATGTTGTTTTATAGTTAATGCTTGTTCATACTGTTTTCGATCTCTGTAAGTATTACCAATACAATAGTAACATTTACTTATTGATGTGTTATTAAATACTTTGTGAAGCGGGTAAAGGTGGAGATAAAGGTGTCGGGGAGACTGTTGATAAGTAAATACTGTAAGCGATTGATAATTATAATGTGATAATAATTTTACTCAAGATGGTGGAATATGGACAGTAGTACATAAAAACGACGACGATGGTGCGGATGTAACGAATGATAAATTAGCGGTTCTTAATTCAAATATTGTTTTAGTAAATATCTCTAGTGTAATTTTTTGTTTACTTGGATAATTTGCGCTTGTAGCAAATCCAAATTAAACGAATTTTTATTTAGAAAAGCATTTCCTACGTTTATATACATTTCATACATTTTCATGCCTCTCATATACTTCTATTAGTATTGTACAAAATATAACCCAAAAAAATAAATCTAGGAAGTGATAAAGCACTTTTTTGATTACTGTAACTAAAAAAATTGATCAAATAGAAAATTTTAATCAAATTTTAAAGGGAGTAGACTAACTGAAGTGCATACTTGCTAAACGACACAATATACGAACGAAGGTTGGTGAAGAAAGAAAATAAATTTATTTGAGTATATATTCGATGATATATTCGCCGCGCTATATTTCTATATTTTTTTTATATATATATTCGTATACCGTTTGATATACTTTTTCTATCGCATGTGTATATGGTTACATACAAAAGATGCAGACAGCTTTGTCTCGTTTTTTGACTGTTCACATAAGTGCAAGTTTGATTGAAAATCTAGAAGTATACATGAATGTCATATTTCTCTTTATCTAACTTAAAACTAACTAAACAAACACTCTTGTTTATGAGAATTTTTTGAAACTTCCAGTGAGCGACAGTCATTCGATATATAGAAACTAAATAGTTTCTGAACAATATGACTACTACACGCAGAGAAAAAGTTGTGGTGAATGTGCATGATTTTGGTGAGGATGGCAACTCTTTCAAATGTGAACGATCGTTTGGAGAACTATGTGCAAGAGTTGTCGAAAAACTAAGCACACAAAATAAAAGTGCAAGTATGACAAATATCAGAAAATCTTGTAATAATGCAATTTCTCTTCTTTCAACACGAGTGAAAGAAACCCTTCGGAATTAACCCTCTATATTGAACAGAAACATATCAGAAGTTCGTTGATCGATGGTAGTGATCTAAATATTTGTGAACTACATATGGATCGATCTCCAAGTAAAACATCGGAACTAGATCCAGATGGTGGGAGTTTATCTTCTGTGAGAAATAATGATAATCCATGTCCAGCACGAAGTAGTTCATATCAAGCTATTAATTCTCCATAGACTGAATAGTTGGACGAAGAAAGATTTTTTCTAAGGTTTTCAAACAGTGTGCTGTTTTTCGACGCGAATTATGAGTATCTACAACAGCATTTTGAACAATGTTTATGTAATACTAGTAAGCCGTTGGACGTAAGACGCATTTTTGATGATGTGTGTGAGTATGTCTTTGTGACACTCAATTTCTATGTGGATTGCGAAGAGCTGAAGGGAGAAATAAACGTACGATTACGTGGTATTGCAAGAGCTGCAAAAAGAAAAGTTAAATATGCTCCTGCGACATTAAGAATGTTAAAAGAAGAAAAAATAGATGTGCCATAAGATGTCATAAGATGTCATAAGATGTCATAAGATGCCATAAGATGTGTTAATTCACTTCATACAGTGCAGCAATCAAGAGATATATCTGAGTCGCACACTACGTTTGGTTTTCAATATAATAGTCTATAAAATATGTTATTGCCAGATCTAATGTACTTACAAACATAAACGTGCAATTTCCTAGTCGATCACTACATTCACGAAGAATAATAATACACGAGGTTCTTGCTGTTTAATTTGATTCATGTTTCAACTAAGAATTGTTTCTCAATGATGACAGACTTGAAAAATTAAATTCTTTTGACGCATAGTAAACGAGTTTGATGCAAATCATTACTAACATTTAATATTATGAATACAGCATAGTTTATAACTTTCATTTGACACAGGTAGCTATATATGGGCAATTTGAAACTCAATAGATCTACAACGGGATACTCTTTAAAAAAAATTCTTAGCTTACAAGGCGAATATCGGTTTTAGCATTTACTCCTAATAGAAATCAATACTCGTATCATACAGTCCTGCATAAGCGTTTTGCAGAATACGCTTGAACGTTTCTTCTCTAGTACAAAGTCTAAATCTGTTTCTTCACGAAGTAAAAAACGTTCAAGAGTATTCTGCGAAACGATTTAGCAGGACTGTACGATGCAGATACCGGTTTATATTAGGACTAAATGCCAAAACCGATATTCGTTTTTAAGCTACGAATCTTTTTTAGAGAGAGTAGAACGATAAGAATAAATATATGTAAATAAATATTATTTATTTAGTACAATTCAATTTCATTAGTATCAGAGAGTTGCGAAGTGGAATGTACAACACAGATGGTGTGGACTCACACTTTTCGGATATTATATTCAATCAAAGCGCATATTTTTCACGTATTTGATATCTGGATTCTGTTGAAGGTAGCACTAGAGGATCAAGAAACGTCAGAACAGGAGAGTAGGAATACCACTCAGAATCTTTGAATTTTCCACGCAAATCGAATGATATTGTATCGTTATTTTGATTATACAGGTATTTACAGAAACAAGATTTGTGCGTGCAGATATAGAACAAGGTGAAAATATTGCTAATGCACATGATGTGACAGTTAGTTTGAGAAAAGTGACATCTTCAATATAAGTACAAATACCGGATAAAACAGAATCTATTAGATATGTTGAGGATGTTTTAGTCCTTCTTTGACATTAGCGGCAAATCTGTCTCTAATTGTTGTATCAATCACATACTTGTTTGGCTCACAGCCAGGAAATAGTCTTAATTGCTCCATTGATCCATAATGTGCTAGCATAATCTTTTTTTCTGATGGGTCTTGTTTTGACACGCCAACGATTTGATGATGTATCGATAAATACTGTACGAATCGCGGTCGATATAAGTATTTTTCACGTCCATCTGTATATCTAATAGACGATCGAAGTGTGAAACGTTCAATAACTAGTAGACTTTTAACAGACTCTTCTTGCGTGTAGTTTTCTATCTGTCTGGTACAGAAAAAGTTACTCCATAAATTAATAGATCCAATAATTTGTCGTCCGTATTCCTTTCGAAGAAAATCACTGATTGTTGTATATGGTGATAATGATATCAAATACTCATCTAAATCAATCATGCCTAGCCATTCAGATTGATCACCAAAACGTAGAAGACAATCGTGCACTGCTTCAACTTGAAAGTAGCGTGAAGAATCAATGTCTTTTAATTGCAATGATGAAAAATTCCATTGAACAATTTCTAAAAAGCCAACATGTTGTCGATACACCGAAGCAATGCCTTCTAAACGATTATGTGTATCAGTTGTATTATAGACGACGATTTTCGTTACACCAACAAGACGATGAAACTCAATCCACTGTGGCAAATATTCATATTTATCTTGTAATGGGGATGTGCATAGTGTAAAGCTCCAATTTGAAGATTTTGATAAGACCGAAGACAAAGAGATATTGACAGAACCTTTCAAAATCGGAATATGACTAATTACGAATGAAGACAGTAAAACTTGGATGAATGTTTTAGTCTGCAATTTTTTTCTTCCATACTCAGTTAACGGACAATCAAGCAACGATACTCGCTCACTATAATATAAAGAATCATAGCTGTAGCCTTGTGATCGAGAGCCATCTTCAAAAATACACCATAGATCAAGTTTATGTGATGAAGATGGATAATTCTCTGATAAATTATCGAAACGTTGTTTCATATGTTTATTTTCTTTAATGACTTGTGGAATGTCTGTTGGAAAAATCATAATAAATGTAACAAATCCACCGTCCGTAACGTAGTAGGCTTGTTTCAAGACTCAATGCGAGTAGATTTGAATCACCGGATAAAGCAGGAACTACCGGTATACTGTCATTCACTATAAAAAGTGACGGACTAACATAACCAGATATATCATTTGTAACAGTAGGAATCGGAAATAACGATGAACAGTTATTGTCTGGACCCATACTCTTTGAATGTTTGAATCGTTCATGTCTTTGTAACCGATAAATAAAACTAAATATGGATGTAGTAGACAAGAAGACAAGCACCGCAAAAGAAATGACTATCCGGAATCGTTTCGGCATTAGTGAATGGTTAGTATAACTAGAAACAGAGAAAGCATAAATGGCATTTTGCGTATATACCAAATATACGATACCAATATTATTTCAGATTAGCCTTTTACACCCGTCAGTCCCTTTCAAGG